ATTTTGTCTTCGTAGTTCAATGAAGACATGACCACAGTTGCATTGCCCTTATCAGCTGGCAACACGAGAATCTCCTTATCCTCATTCAGCGTTTTGCAACGCGATGCAAAAAATTAATAGATCGATTTTACAAGAAAGCTCGTCGACTTTCTTTGGACTAAGTTCTGTTGCTCAGAAAATCTAGATGTCTTTTTTATAGTTGTTTGGACAAAGTAGTAAAACGTTTCTCATAAAAAATGTTGATGACCTTCTTTAAGATGTTAGAATTCCTGGGGTCTCGTAAAGCTTTAATCTGCTTTAATAAATGACTTATAACTTATGATGAGTTATAACTCATTAACTCAGAGAGCGGCAACAACTCAATAGCGCAACTCAACACAGTGTTACCCAGGCCTACACACTACTTTACTATTCAGAACACAAATTAACATCATTTGCAGCTTTTAAAACCAAGGATTATTATTTTATTGGATTTATTTGAACAAAAAAAATGAACGTCGAAGATGTTCTGTTTGCTTGTCCATTTAATGATGAATTTGCAGGGCTTTGATTAACTCGATGCGGCGTTTCTGAGTGAAACCGTTCAACGAAAATAAATAAAATTTACATTAGAAAGTTTGAAAAATCATTTGACTATTTAATATCCAGCGCAACAAAATTCAAAGTGTGTTAAATCCGTCGTAATCAGCTCTGTTTAATAGCCAAAGCCCCGATTTGTGTTTTATGAACCTACCATATGTGCCCATACATAAATGTATTTTCAACCAGTCATCAATTACAGCCTAATTGATTTTCAATGTTTGTGAGCTGCCGTAATTGTGTAAAACGTTGAATTTTTTAATCGATTTTCCCATATTTGCCTAGTAAAGTGGCATTCAAAGTTGGAGTAACGTACATGTTAGTTCAGGCAAAAGCATTGATGGAAAGCACCGCAACGGAAAAATATTTCAATGAGATATGTTTCCAGAAAAATAACTAGTAGACCATCAAAAATGTCAGCTGCATCAATGTAAAAAAATGCAATTGTGTCTCTGGAAGATCTAACAAACTCTTCAAGCGGTTTGCACTAAGCAAAGATCAAAAAGTTAACTGTTTGTATGAGATGAAATCTGAATGTTTACTAACATGAAAGTTTCAATTCCCATGGAGAAAGAGTATGCACTATGCATGTATGCTGCCTTAAACGAACCTACAGAACTGGCACAAAGTACAAACACTCGACTTTCGTATATATTTCGTGCGATTATTGAAAAGGGCACATTTCACTAAGCTGCTTTCAAGAAAATAATGCATCGGGTGAAACGTACACAGCGCATTGGAGCTTCGAAGTTTGATATCTTAATGTCCCTGGAACTCCAAAAAGCTCTGTTAATATTTTAGAATGCATTTTCACTTGAAAGGATGTAAGAAGTCAAACGATAGAGTAAACGTGGGGTTTTATTTGGAACGTTTGCCAATAGGAATCGATGTTGCAATATGATGCTTTACAACAGCCAGTCTATCTATCCGTTTGTTGTCTACTTTCCAATTTTGTTTATTGTAATCATTTGTTCCGAGAATTTGCCCGTTTTGCTTGAATGGAAATAGTTGGATAATCAAAACTCCATAATCAACGGTGACAATTTTTCACGGCTTTTAAAATGAGCCAGCCAAATCACCGCTAACAAGCCAACAGGGTATTAAATATGAGACGCAAACTAGCTTTCTAAATTAGGAGCTTGATCAGCAGGAAATGTTCTAAATGTTTTCGAGTTTCATGTTAATTAACTATGTAAATATCGAATATTGCGGGCCACACTGTGTTCATTGATGAGGCGCCACCTACAAGCCAAAAAAACAATTTAAATAATTTTTGATCAACATGTCATCAATGCCTATACATCTCGTATGCTATATAGTGACCTACAACCTACAATAAAAATACGTAATTGTTAAGCTAGAAAATAACGAAATCATTGGATACAAATTAATGGCTCGGAACTGAGCGATAAACAGCAAAGCCATTTTATTTACAGGTATTGTCGATGTTAGTGTAAAATATATGGACTATTAATTATTTTAAGCAATTTGTATGCAGAACGTTGCGTGGATTTACTCAGCAGCCCCATGATATTTTAAACTCAATTTGGATTTTATCGAATTCGTTACATGGTGAATTGAATTAGAAAAATGTGAATGGAAGTTTAATGGAAATGAGCACACAGTTAAAGCAAAATAACAACAATAAACATGAATACTGATATAACATAATTATTTTCCGTCAAGCCAGTGTTTTAAGTACAGTATTAAAAATTATTTATCGTTCGTTAAAAACGCGTTGATTTGCCGGGACCCTCGCAAGTTAAAAGTTGTTACTTAATAAAAAATATTATAAAAAAGGTTTAATCGGAGATGAGCGGGTGGAATAAATAAGAAATGTTAAGGAACCGTCAATTTTTAACATACTTATGCAATATTGTGCAATTTCTACTGAAATTGACATCGTCTATAGCCATTATAATGTAAAGTTATTTGGGTGTATCAAAGTGCAAATATCTGTTTGTGCGGTTTATTAAAGACAAAATAACTGCGATAACCTTTTCGTTGTGTACTGTTTAACTACTTGTAAATGGGAACATCAATAATTTGCCAAGTGCGAGAAATGAATGCATTTATATACACGTGTAGCATATGCAATCAAACGCTTTTTGTAAGTACTTATTAACTATAATTTAGGGATTAGTGAAATTGCCCATCATCGCAATTGATTCAGTTATACCATTGAAGACAAATTTCTAATTTTTGATCCCGAAACTAACGGATTAGGCAACTTAATTCCAAGAACATTCTTAAGGTATTTATAACCTTCTAACGACTTGGACAATATACAGGGTGATTCACAACCTTATGGGCAGAGTAGGAGCGTGCAGAGGACCTCAAGACAAGTCGAGTTTCTATTTAAGTTTTTTGCCTCAGGCCCATGGTTAACGAGATACCATTATGCCTAAGATTCATTTATGCTTAAGAGAAACCCGAGGGAGGCTATTTTAACACCACACAGCACCTTTAATTTATTAAATTTAAAATGAAAGTTTAAATTATTTAATTTTAATTTAATAAATTAAAGTTAAAACTAATTCAATAATAAATTGAAATATTCGTTACATTTTTGTGAATTTTTATTTGGATTATCTTACAGTCGATTAAGCTCAATTACTGTAAATGAAATTAAAGAAGAAAAAAAACTTTAAAGTTAACTCGTCAGCCGTCCCTATTTTAACGTCAACTTCAAGCTTTTACAAAAAAATGTGAAAAGGACTCAAAAAAATTGTTAAGAAAATTCATAGAAAATCACCCACAATCCTTACATGGACTTATGTTTCTGCAAATCACTCGAAAACGGAGGCCGATACGAAAAAATTGCAAGCAATAAAAAATCTTAAATTGCACAATAAATTTAACAATTTGTCCGTCAGTGGCGCACCATAAAAGAGTTCGGAGGGTATGCCTCAAAAAAAACACCTGAAAATTTTTGCAGCCAGTTGGGTCTAAACATTAGCCTACGTTCAAAATTTGAGCAAAATATCTCATAAACTGTAGGAGTTAAAAAGAAAATACCAATATAATTTTAAAACTTTAACACCCTGTATCTGGTTAACCATACAACGGAGAAAAAAACTTAAATAGAAACTCGACTTGTTTTGAGGTCCTCTACACGCCCCCGCTCTGTGACACATAAGGTTGTGAATCACCCTGTATATATTTTGTAAACTGGGAAGAATTTTTCTATTTTGAAGCTTTTCTGAAATCTTGCGACAGCTCCTTCACAATCTGTTATTTTGCGCATTGAAAATTTAATATTTCCTCTCCGAGTTATAAGGCATTATTTGAGGCTTCTCTCCCAATAAGAGTATTATTGGAATTTGCTTTCGACATTTTCATTACGATTTTATTCAACACTTTTACTCAAACTGGATTTATTTATTACTTTTGCAGCTGCTGCTTTTTAAACGCCCTATTTTTCAATATCAATTATTGATTGTTGAAAATAAATAAGTTTGTTTTATTATGAGTTTATTTGTTATTTATCTGGGAACACTTTATTTGATTTTAATAAATTTTAGTCTAATTACTTAGTCTGTGAATGTATTTACAATTTCAATTAAATTTCTGCTTTGCTTTATCAATTTTGCAGCTCACTAATAAATTGCTCTGATAAATTAGCCAGTCATTGATTGATAGACCAACTAGAAGGTGTTGATTTTTAAGAAGTCAAAAAATGTAAAATTTTAAACTCTACCTAGGTTGATAGGCACTTGAATGACACAACCGCCTATTTGTAACAGAAAATACAATTTTCTTCAAAAGTTTCTGTTTGAAGTTAGGAAAAAACCTGGTGTTGAAAAATGCAATGGTGCCGTGCAGATTATTAGCGAGAAGCCACTTGATATGAGAAGACTGTGAGGAAACGAATATATTTTTTTAAACAAACCGACAAAGTTGGTGTTTGCTTTAACCAAATTTAAACAGGTTCTTTAAATCATATAGAGAACATGTACATACATAGTAACAGTAAGTGATATCAGTTCGTCAGCATAAAACTTTAAGACAAACACGAAACCGTGATTAATGTCATGGCTTCGGGGTCTGCAGTAAACTTCTTCGAAATTCGCAGGGCAATAGTTTATCTCGTGTATCTGCAGTATTCGGTGAATTTACTCTGTCAGAAGTTTTCGATGCCCTGATCTTTTATTAGCTAAATTATTGTTTGAGAAAGTGCGAGCATGTTAGAAGGAAAGATGGATCAGATTCGAAATCATATTGGACCCAATGTGGTCTGACCAATGATTTTGGACCGAAAACCTTTCAACCATTAGGGCCCTATTTAGCCAAGCCACAATTGGGTCCAGTATTAACTCTGCTGACATTTGACTAGGAGCTACAAACATACGAGCAAAGTAATTAAGTAGGTAATCATAGACCAAACCAATTGGATTAACCAATTAGTTTCAAAATTAGCTGCTGAGTTAGATGATGGCTCTAGGCCTGACATCTCTAATAGAACGAACAGTTGTTTGTTAATTGAAGCATATGGCTTTTATCTGATTCAAGGTATTTATGGGATGTTTTAATTAGACTAACATCCTGTGAATGTAAATTTAAAAAGTTTATACTAAATAGCAAAAAATAGTTACGTTGCAACTAAATGAAAACACACAAACGAGTAACGGGCAGCAAGAAGAAAAACGATCGAGAGTATAAAGACATTAGAATAATATCAAACCTATATTATTAGCAAGCCACCATACGAAGAGATCGAAACATCTAAAAATATTACAATACAAAGATGCTTGAGATATTTGAAGGTCCATAAGCTGAAGAAACTGTAAAATTACTAAAGCGCCAACCTCCGAAACGAAGACCACAGTTGAAGGATAAAGTAATAAGATAATTTAATTAATTTGCCAACAAATCGGAAGTACATTTTCAATTTTCAATGCTCTGTTTTCAGTTGGAAATTCCAATAATATTGGATATCTTTTTTGACTGCCGCCTTTTAGTGATTGAATGCAATGGTTGCATTAAACACATGTACATCAGCATTATTCTGAATAGAATTTGAAAAAAAATCGGTCTCCATTGATTTGAATAACTTTGGAAATTTTCAGAAAGGTTCTAACTGCTTGTAAATAGCAAACGTTATAAACATCATAAATGTATAATAATAATAAATAAAAATACATTTGGTAGGCACGTTTGCAGAAAAATAATCCAATTATTTATTGCACAAAAAAGAAAACTGCATTATAAACATCCCAACAGTAATTCCGCAAGCTATTTGAGTTTAATTGAACAAATATCCGAACGCAAGACTGTGCGAAATTATTATATTTACACATTTATATTGCTTTCCCCCAAATTGCAATAATCTAGAGAAAAAGCAATCGACTAAAGAAATCAATAAATATTCGTAAGATCAAGTCAACAACCATTTATATATTTTTGTAGAATATTTCAAGAGAAACCAGTGAAGATTGCATTCACCTCGATATTAAATAACTGTCTGAAGCTGATACACAAAGATCTATCAATCAAATTAAATATTACTAATTGGTTTGCTACGACTTTGCAAACAATCTGCAATCTTAAACCGTGGACAATTCTCGATTTCTGTAGTAAAGTTGCATGAATCGAAGTTCATTAATTAAAATTGTAATGCAAGTTTAGCGCTTTGCGCCAATTCCCACGTCATAAATTACTTTTAAGGCTACTTTACACAGTGTCTGAATGCAATTTGATATGCCGAAGAAGACGTGATGTGAGCATGTCAATAATTCGAATAAAATAAATGGGACTGGAATAGAAATTAATTTTAGAATAAGCTAGGCTAAGACATATGTACTAAACAAGGGCAGAAAGACCGATTGGGTCGATAGCCTTTTTCTGTAAGAAATAAAGATTATTTATATATATATAAATGGGACAAAATTAGAAGTAATCTTAAAGCATTCAATTCATTTCGGTTTTGATAAACTAGTAAATTTCTGGTAGGTACGAAAGCCGAGACTGAATATTAACGTTGCATCTCAACTTATTGCACCAATTAATTACGATCTCGGTTTTAACCATTCAATCACCTAATTTCTAAGAGTCGGCTTCTAGCAACCGACATTCTGGCTGCTTGATTAAATTAGGCAATTTTAATTTTAACTGGGATTAATTCACATTAAAACCACCGACGTTTTTGGCCGAAAATCGATTTTAATTAAATGCACTTCTCTGGAGTTTTAAGTGAACAAAAATATATTTAAATAAGTTGCGTATTTAATTAATTTGACTTCTTGGAATGATAGAAAATTAAGACTTTAATCTTGCAATATAAATCCTCATCAGATGTCCATGAACAGAGCAGCGTGTAATTATGCTATAATCACTCCCAGTTATACGTTGATTAGTAATTACAGAATAAGAAAATTGCGTAGATTGCAGGTTACATGGTGATTATTTAACTAACGACTTTCTCCTTAAGTGGGATACAATCCGGCATTAAATGCTGCAAAGAACGACAAGTTAACTTAAAATTGTCCGCTAGAACTCAAATAATTTTCAACCGATACATTATCACCGCATTTATTAACCCAGCGATTAATAACAGCCATTTGTAAAAATAATTATCCTTAATTAAATAATACTGATTGTAACAAGAAAGCCGCCGACCATGATAAAGTAGAGGCCAAGCCGCGTAAGTGCATACAATTAGCTTTATGTTTAAATTCAACAGAATCGCTCATCTAATTATTTCAAGAGTAAACTGATTTGCAAAACGTATAACACGAACGCAGCCTTTCCAAATTTCGAACGTCTGACAGAATCAACTACTTTATACTATAGCTGAAGGGCGTTTCCCTAATCCCCTAGTTTCTAAAAATAAATATACTACAAACTTCCGAATGCTCCAGTACGGTTTGGGTCTGACAAGAACAAGGAAAAAGATGGAACGCGGTATTTAATGGGAAAGGGTTGTTTCTTCCCGTAAGTATCGAATAGTAATTAAGCTAAAATAGATCGTTGGCAATTAGTGTCATTATTGATAATGCGTACCTAAATGGTTTGATTTATAAGTTCTAAATAAAAACAGGTCAGTCGATTTTAGTCTTTAAACTTATGAAAAAAATTCGTATATTGTGCCTGTAATTTTTTCTCATGAATCTTGGAGGCAAAGTACATGGGCTCTGAATAGCAGTATTACTTATTGGTTCGAATACGAAGGTCATTTTTATTTATTTAAGACATTTTTAGTATAGCACATTTTCAGATTGTTATATCTATTTAGAGTTAAATACTAAAGAGTTTTCAATAAGACGGTCGGTGGACCCGAAAGGACCCTAAGAATATTAAAGCGAATATACGTAAGTACTTAGGTAGCAAATACGTAAAGCAAATATGGCAATAGCATATCTACTTTAGAAACGACCAAAATTCAAGCCAAAAGGTTTTTTTTATAAGAATTAATTCAACTTAAGGCCTCTGGACCTGCGATAAAATCATCTCTGCCACCTGAAGAGGAAGTTCCCCAGATCTTAACATTTGCTGTTAAGATACCAAGTAAATATTTGCAATATGAAACTAAAGAAAGTCCTATCATTTGATCCTAAGCAAAGTTTAAGAACTAATTGGCTTAAAAAACTTTACATGCAAAACTTAACTTTGTACTTTCAACATCTATTGCAAAGTTTTACATAATGCATAACTTTGTCTAAATTACGATGAATACTGGCATAATCGAAAACATCATCCAGACTGCCTCCGCTTTCAATTCCTTCGAGCGTTTCCTTCTCGTGCTCAGATGAACTTTAACAATATAATATGATTTTCTATTCCATTTGGCACATTGTTGCACCTCTAAAACTTTACGCTTTTGTTTGTCATCGGATTTTCTTTTTCTGTCTGATAATTTTGATGTGGCAAAACCTTCACTTTTTCAGTTTTATTGATTGAGCCGAGAAATCTGATTTCTTCGGGTAGAATGCCCTTTCAATTGAAGCTGGGTAACATATTGTATTTCCAATCGAACTTTCAACTGGAAACCAAAAATATTCATAATGGAATAACCGGATACGAACTGAACTTTGTTGAACTAAATACAGCTGCTCTGCAAATTCCTTCTTGAATCTCTAAATAGAATTTCGCTAATGACTACTTATTGAATGACAGTGCTCGTGGCAATGAACCATTTTGATATAATGATGATAGAGCAAACTTTTGTTTCCAAAGTTATTTGTTTGAATTTTGTACGGTTGTTTGTAAGGTACCTAATGGGCGATTTAATATAACAATATATCTGGAGTCGGGGGGACTTTAGATTGGCTTTCTGCTTGGAATATACCTCAGGTTACAATCTAGATTCCATTAGAATTTTATTACATTCGTTGTTGTTCTACTTATTGTTATACGTATTTTGTTCCAGGTTCTAACAGCATATTTTAGAAGATAATTTATTGGCAGTGCTCTCTAAAAAAAACCATAAAACGTTAATAACTAATACTTAAAATGTGTGTTCCAAATCTACATAAATTCTAGTTTTAAAAATAAAATAAGAAAACTAATTTTAATCAGCATATGTTGAAGACTTTTTACGGCAGGTGGACGTAATTGAAGGTGTTTCTTAGTGCAAAAAAATGGGAAGATCGTCAACATTAAAGAATACAAAATACAATTAAAGTTTTCAGTTTGCTCGAGGATAAATATTCTGGTAAAAATGTGCACAAGATTGTTTTCTCTGCTGTTGAAATGAGCTGCTCACCAAAATCACCGTTACACTGACAAATTTTCCTTAAGTTTGAAACTGGATAAATTCTGACTGGTAAAAAAAATATATGCCAAGGCTTAAAGTAGTAACAACGCTACACATAAAAACTGATGATTGTGGAGAAATACTCCGAAACGTATTTTAATTGATAAATAGAGACAATAAATGACTGAAACCCAGGAATTAATTTTGATTTGGAATTGAAACACAGTCAGGAAAGTATGTACAATGGTAAAAATAAAGAAAACGAAAAGTATTTTGATAAAAATTAAGCACTTCCGATACATTTTATGTTATTGTTATGTATGTATCTTTAGTTAAATGAAAAAATGTAAAATTTCGTAAAGTTCGGCATGGTCCGAGTTGGACAGAAGAGGACAAGTAGTTGATGTTAAAGCTAAAAGTTCATAGACAATTTAGGACTAAAATTTGATATATGTACAAGGTTGCCGAAAAAATTACCAAAACGGAACTAAGTTGCCCCAAAATCTGCGATCATGCGGAGAATCATTAATTTTCTCAAGTCCACTGTGAACTTTTGAAAAAGTTAAAAAAAAATTGCACTACAAGACCAGAAAGTGGATATTTAGAGACCACTCTGTAAATAAACCAGATGGGCCAAAAATTCGAAACCGTTTTTTGAAATGTTCGTGGTAGGTACTGAAACAAAACAAAATTTTACCAATTTTGCATTGTTTCATTTGCCACCCTGTAGAAGCTTCATCCGATTCACTATTTTTTTACAAAACCACGTTCTAACCGAAAAAGAATTGCACTAAATAACGCTTCAAACAGAAATCAATTCGATCGAAGCAGTCAGAATTTATCTAGTTCCAAAGTTAGTCAAACTGAGCAGTTTAGTTAAAAAAATGGATTTTGTTCGATCTAGATGGATTTGCAGATTTTTGATCTCAAAGTAGTGCACTAAATTGTTGAAAAGTAGCTGCTGATTCAAGTCTTTGATAAAAATTATTTTCTTGTCCAACTTTTATTTTTTCTATTTCAATATTTATCTGCTTTCAAATTGAATCAGTCTGATCCAGAAGGTCTTCAGCTCGGTTTTCGGTAATCAATAAAATTTGTTCCAAACTTAGTGACCTTATTGCAATGTTTCCAACATAGGTACCTAATTTCCTGCTAAATTTATTGCTTCCCACATACGGTGAATGATGTCGTTCGCATATTTATACTGCAGTACGGTACTTTGATATCAGGAAACTCATTATTCCGACACCACTAGTTATGTCTCCATTTACTAATGTTTTTTCACGATAATATGCACGTTTTGTGTGCATTTGTGTCACTGTGTATTATTTTGCCACATTGCAACAATCGTTATTGCAAGTTTCGGTTAGCTGCAATAACACAATGTCACCTCTTTTTCGTTTCTTGAAAGTGATAAACACTGGTAATACCAGTTGGGTGAGAACAACGACAATGTCCATCTAAACTAACGTAATTTACACCTAAAATTAACAGTAACTAAATGTAGCTGAGGAATTGAAATAACCGTTTCCAACGAGCGTCTACTCACTCTATGTCTGAGCTGGCCTGCCTACTCTAATTCTTCAGCATTCAGTTAATCCAATGGGAAAAACTAACATACCAAACTACAAAGAAGTTTAGGGCGAAATCACAGGAAACAATGCAAAGAATGTAACCATTTGTAAATCACTTGGTCGGAAGGAGCGGCTAGGGGAAGGTCGCACATTTACATTGAATAACGGTACCACTAGAACGGACACACCGAAAAACAACGAAGAACTATCAAGCAAACAAAACACTTCACATTGATCTGCACAAGCGAACGTGCATGCAAACTCAGGCCTTCGGTCTGGGAACTGGTAATGGGCTGACTAGCGCACTGGTTTCAAGTTTGCTGTTGTACTTTCGGTGGCAAGGCGTTCCCTAAGCTGTTCGTGCTATTAACCCGTACCAGTGGTACCTAAAGCTGAAGAGAGACGCCAACAATGCGGGACAGGTCATGGGAACCTTTTAAGAGTCCTCTCCTAGACTGCAAGTTAAAAATACACGTTGAGGTATCGGATGATACTGGCTGATACAGACCAGATATTGCGAAACCGTTCGGTTCCTTAAGGAGCTGAAGAGCGCAGCCTTGTGAAATATTTCGAATACCAGAACGATTCTCTATTGAAGGCAAGTGTTGATATTGATAATGAATGCGAAGAAGCCAGAAATTTGCATTATGCGGTTTCCATTCTGAGGACGGATGCTGCCACATAAAGGTTACATAAACGGCCACTTGGAATCATTCAAGTGAAATCTTTAAAAAATTCCCTCAAGTGCAGAATTTTGGATTTGTTGCGGATAAGCTAAATCCAGCTGAAAAGGACAATAAGCCGAAACCGGTTCTGGAAGTCCTTGCTTGTGATAGCCAAAAATTTCTACCGAATTTCACGCACTTATAACTGCGAAATCGGATAACGAACCTTTTTCAGTTATAACAACAGTTGTTAAGTTAGTTCCCTAAGTTGGAGCTTATGGAAAGAAGTTTTATATTGCTCACTGTTACTTTTTCACACACACGAATTTAATTATTTAAATTGACCTTCAAGCAAGCAGCGAAAAAATTGATCCGGATGAACTTGGGTTTTATCCCAGCCAGCACTGGCCCCGATAATCACGTAAAAGACGTCGAAAGAAAAAATGCTAATGAGAGTGAAATGACGTCCTTAAACGACGTACATGAATGTGACAAAACATTCTTAACTTTGCTTCGAATTTTCTTTTAAAATGTGTTCAGCAAGCTGCAATATTTATTTACATTAAACATTAAAACAATATTACATATAGATATTACACAACAGTTGCTAATAGAAGCAAAAAGTTGAACATAATTTAAAAAAACGTTTCAAAACTACTTTGCTTCCAATTTTCTGTGCAAAAATTACGAACTAGATAATGACGCAATTGCCAATTTACTTTGTTGCCATGAAAAGCTTGAAAAATCGTTAATCTTTAAATAAAGGCCTTCAAAAATACAACTAACAAAAGTTAAAACTGTAAGTTGATATTCTTGAATTGCTTATTTTGCAATGAAATAATCTCATGGTTAAAATTGGTTTCTGGTGGAAAATATTTTTTCGGTAGAAAACAAGTCACCGCTGATATAATCTTCTACATCTTAGAATGATTCGAAATTATCACATTATAAAAGTTAGCAAACACCACAGAAAAAAAATGTCGACAATTTAAGCAAATCAGACTGATCGGAAAATTTGGATGCAAATGAAAAAACAGCCTACAATGCAATACCACAACTTTGTATTAAGGTTGCTAACGAATTTGATCTGATGATGAACGAAAGTGGAATTGCGTTATTTAACTAGGGGGACATTCAGTTTAACGGGCAAATTATCGTTCATTGCACAACGTAACGTGGGTCATTCTCACAGTGCCTAAAGTTTAAAAAATCTAAATTGCGGATGTTCTTCATCAAAAAAAGTATCGTTGGCTTTGGCTAAACTCCTGCTACAACTGATAAAGATTTTTATCATTATTTATGATAACCCGATTTGGAAAAACCGGTCTTAACGCAAACTCTGCGGGAAATTTTATTTCAACTAGATGCGTGTTGTTTCTTATATTTAGAGTTTCTAGCCACTAGTTAGATAATGTTCTTAGCCAAGACGCAACTGCTGTTTTTCTGATTCGGAAGCTTTTCAAAGTAGCATCATATTACAAACTTCCTTGAACTTGGATAAATGTTTCAAGTCCTAAAAAGTAGTTTTTAGTGATTTTTATTAATAACATAATGCAATTATTCACAATACACGTGAATAAATTAATTATCTCGTACAATCAATGTTGCCTGCACATGCACTTGGCGACCTTGCAATAACTGTATATTGTTTCACAAGCTTAACAACAGGAAAAAGTTTATATTTGAATATTAAATTTTCAACAACAATTAACAAGTAATTACCAATCGCAAACTTATCATTGTCAGGAGATGGACATGTCGTTGCAACTTTGGAATTTTTAAATTGCGATAATAAAATGTGTCGTACTTTTCTAAACGAAAACCTTTATGCCCAAAGGGCAACTTTAATAAAATTACCAGAGCTTTTTCCTTAATGTCTCACGTGAAAGCAACAGAAGCGAACAATTCTACTAAGCACGGTATATTACAGTCCTCCGAGAATTACCCAGGGATTTTAACTGTATTAAGTAATTTCAAATACCTAGTTTCGTTCCGTTTTTTGGAGAAATTGTGCATAACCGTTATGCGGCAGTTAAGGATCCTAGATGTTGAAATAACGGGAATAATGGTCCTTTGTTTTTCGAACTTGTAGCCGATGAAAGGAACAATGCAGTAGAAAATTTCCTTATTAACAAATGAAAACGAATAGTATTGTCGATATTTGGCAACGACCCAAAGCTAACCTAAGCTGTATGTTCTGTAATAATCGTTACTGTAAGGTTTTATTAAACAATCAGTTGGAAAACCCATCATAATCTTCATAGTTGAGCGAATAAAATGTGTTACATCAAGACACCGGATAATCACTTATGGGTGTTTAATTGAAACGATTCCAATATGGTATACACAATGGCTCTTACATAAAATGCAACCTGCTTTAGTTTATGCTTTAACCGGACACGTTACACAATAACTCCTGCTTTTAATTTAACTAATTCGATGATTAACTCATTTGAAGGTCCACGTTTTTTATCTTCAAAGATGCAGAAATGCAATAATTTCGGCAAACACATATGTAAGTGCCGATGTAGGATCAGACCTACGTGGTAACCAAAATCAGGATTAAAATGAAACAAATTAAAAAACATAGGTAACATAATAGGTAAAAAAAGACAATTTAAAAACAAAGATAATACGAAATATAGAGAAGTAGACAAACAGTAAATAAAAAATTTAAAAAGCGAGGGAAAGATGGTTAAAGGAGCAGTGCGAAGAGGTAGAGGATTAGGAGAGAAAGCATGACTATAAACGGAAAGCTAATTTTTGATACAAATTAAAAACTCAGGAGATGAACTGAATATAACGAGCTGTTTGGAGATAATAGAGCAGGATAAGTGGAAGTTGAAGTAGAAAATAGCGTCTAAAAACATTAAAAGCAGAAATGAAAACCAGTCGAAACATTCAAATGTATGAACGACGATGCCTTGGGTATACTACTGGATATATTTAAAGAAGTATACAAAACAGGGTATATACCAAAGCAATGGCTACTCTCCACTTTATGCTATTCCAAAAAGTCACAAACGCGAAAGACTGCTGTGAATATAGAACAATATCATTAATAAGTCCTGCGCTCACGGTATTTTTTAAAGTAATCCATGGATCCATCAGTGAAAACCTAGAGAAAGAAATAGATGATAGTCAATTTGATGTGAAATAATGATAAGAATAAAATGATGTGAAATAATTAACACCATCTCCTTCTCATCTCTCCGTCTCCTTATGAAGGTTGGCGAAACAGCTGCTCGGAAAATATATGTGCATGTGCGCCCAAACCACATGCCGAAGTCCTTCAGCCATGAGTTCTGGCGTCTTCCGATGGATCTTTTTCATTGAATCTTCCCTTCGATGATTAGTTTCAGGATTTCGTAGCGACTGCCCCTCATAATATGTCCAAGAAACTGTGGTCGCCTTTCTTTCATCGTTTGTAGCAGTTCCTTTCCTTTGTTCATACGTCTTAGAACTTCTACATTGGTTATCTTCTCTGTTCAAAAAATTCTGAGCATGCGTCGATAGAGATATATCTCAAATGCGTCTCTTCTCCGTTATGGGATCAAGGGTCCAGCTCTCACTGCCGTCTTTATCTATGCTCACTGCCGTATAGAAGGGCAAATAACACATAGCAACGGAGCATCCGTGACCTGAGCTCTAAGCTCAATTCCAATCTAGTAAAGAACGTCTTCATACTAGCGAAGACTTTCCTCGACTGTTCTATTTTGGATCTGATTGCACTTTTAGGGTCACAGTCCTGATTTATCGTGTGTTTATTAAGTGCCCAGCTATTTAAACAATAAGACCTGCTCTACATCTTTGCCTTTTATGGTCAATTTTTATGTGTTTTATTAACACCATCAAATTGTGATTAATTAACACTGTAAATGCAAGAAAATTACAATACCTGTGGCATATAATGAGCGACCAGCGATATGAGATGCTTAGATTGATCATGCAAGGGACTATAAAGGGAAGAAGAAGAATTTCATGGTTGAGAAATTTGAGGGATTGGTTTGGTTGTAGCTCAACAGAACTTTTCAGAATAGCGGCAAATAAAGTAAGAATAGCAGGGATGATAACCAACCTCCGATAGGAGACGGCACTCCAAGAAGAAGTTGTTTATCCCTGCAGTTTGTGATAAAGAAATTTTGAGTTGGAGCAATGAATTTTTAAAAATAAGTCCATGTTTGCTGTCTCAGAAGTTTTTTTCTAAGTAAATGCTCGCACATAATTTTCATGAGTTCATTTTCCAGCAGGAATTTGATATTTTACTGTACAAAAAAACTAATCATGTATCTATGGGATCCTGTTGCTTAAAGAATTTTTGCGAAACTATTTATTTTTCTTTCACTTTTCAGTTTTCTTCCTTTGTTGCACCTGGTTGTATATTTTTCAGCCGAATCAATCTGTTAGTAGGTAATAGTTCTATTAAAGTCTAGGAATTATTTTTACTGCACAACATCTATTTTCTAAATTCTGCTGTACTTTAGAGGAATTGCGCCATAATTCTCTTTGTCAAAATAGCCTTTAAATTGGGAAATAAATTTTCTTTTAATCGAATTACAAACCTGGAATTTAATGGGACTAATCTGCTGACTAAATCTACCGAACATTAGCTGAAAACTGAAATATACCTATTAAAAAGATTTTCTATAATTACTCGAAAAAAATTAAGTGTCTTTCTTCATCATTCTACTAATCCTGTTCAATTGTGATAAGATCGCCCTTTTAAAGTTTCAACACTCGTAAATTTGTTTGCATGTCGCTTCCAGCATAAAAGCTGCGATTGTCACAGAAGGGTGGGAACAATTAAACCAAGACGAAATTAAGTCATTAATCATCCAAACAAAATCAGTTTCTACTTAATCATCTAATAAGAAGGGAACCACGAAACGAGTTTCCATAATAGTATAAACCAGACTGGCTGAACTATTATCTTCTGGGTAATAAAACATCCCTTGGCATAGGGCGCCGCAGTAATTAATTTTAATTTTCCAGTCCATGTTTGGTGGAAAAAACGTGGCAAAGAACGGGACAATCAATGGAATATCTGGAAGATGTCGACGCAGGCTGTCTTCATTTGTCGCTACAAAACTGTACGTTGCCGATTAAATAAATGTTAGTCAACAAATGTTAGCGTAATTATTCCGCATATTATTCACCGCTTTAGTTACTGACCACACTGCGATAATTATAATTCACGATAATTCAGACTACATGCGCTAAATATATACATTTACCGAATTGAAAGCTGCACTGGATGCTTTTACTCTATAAACAATATAGGGCTTATTGACTAATTATAAATTGTTATTTACGGACGAAACCGTTCTGTTTCGTTTAAAGGTATAATTACATTCGTGTAATCTGTTGGGACATATAATTGTGCGGCCGGGAAATAATAAACAGCGTTGAAAGCAAGCTAAAGCCCTACGCAATTCCTTGTTTATTATCCATACATCTTCGAAATTCTGAACAAGTTGGTAATCCGGTTGGCTACTAGAATTGAGCGAATCTCAATATTTTTGCTATTACAGTTTTTAATGCAATAACTACGAAAACTGGTAAAACCGGATTTTGCCAAACCCGGACTTTTTTCGGATGATAATCCACTAGTAGATAATTTATTCCTATTAGAATTTTTCAACAAATAATTGAGCAAGGGAGGTGAAGCGGCTACCAAAAAAGTCGGGAATGGAGAAAAGGTGTTAAAACTTAAATTGATTTTCGTAATCACACAGGTAGAAAAAAATGTGAAGGAAAAACACTGTAATAACAAAATTGTCCAAAACTGATATAGAAAGTTTTATTGCAGTGAATTCTGGCCCAGAGAAGAATAGATTGCCTGTTCAGCATGTTACAAATAGGTACACAATAAAAAGGGGCAATTATTTTTTGAGAAAACTGCTAATACATCTTTATAATAATGTTACGTTTCGTACATTTTTATTTTCTACCTGTACAAGTAATTAAACTTTTTGTAGTTTCTATTTTTTTATGTTGACAAGTAACAGTCGTATAAAATGATCTTGAATTTTCGAAAAAGTATTGTTCTGCTCAGGCAGTTTTATGGTAAACTAGGACAGAATGCACTGTTTTAGTTACTCAAACTTACGCCTTTTCAAACGTTAAGTTAACGGTTAAACATGGACGGAATGCTTAACTAACATCAAAGAATACACCGATTGCAAACCAATCAGTTTATTTTCCAATTTCCTGGTGAGAATTAAGCTACAAATGTCAGCTACCCCATATACTCGGCCTTCTCCTATAGAAAAAAAATCCACAATTTCCTACAGTTAGTCCTAATTGCTCGAGATTATTTTCTGCAAAACTTATAAGATATGTCGCAATAAATTACGACATAATGTAGTGGGCTTAATAAATCTTTACTCTGTCATCGCTTAGGCATCAAGATACGCAATAAAAGAAATCAGGGACCTCTAACCTGATCTAATAAATCTCGGCGAAGAAAAATTATAGGGGTTGTACAGTAATCAAACCGATCTGTGGGGATTGATGCTAGTATTTGCCTTATATAAGATTTGGTCGATTAAATCTATACATCTATACATCCGAAATCAAGTTTCCTTTTGTGATCATCAAATAAATTGTTATTATTGTAAGCCATCCGCCAAGAACTGTTAACCAAAGAGGGTATTTATATATGCATTAGTAGATCATTAATATCAAATGGCTAAAACGCCCTGGGCAACAAAATCCACAGGCACCTAGAATTATTTCCAACATAAGATACAATCGAACACTTCATTTCCTTATGAAGGGAAAATCGCAAATCCCTGTTGCGAACGCTGTAAATCCCCTATGGAAATTCAGATGATTGAAATCCTCAGCTTGGAAATGGAAAATTAAGCTTTAAGAAATAACTTATTATTGTCGTGCAATGCGATTTGCGACAAACATTTTCAACTCCAGCAAAAAGACATCAGCGTTTATTTGCATTAATCACCATCTATTTATTTGTATTATTTAAATCCGCTGCACAATCGCAAAATTATTCCATTATTCAACCAAACTTGTGACACACTCCGATTTGGAGCAGTACTCGCGAAATGTATATAGCGAACCAAGCGATTTGAGCACGATCTGAAATTTTAGAGCAAAGAGCGCAATTGTGCTTGTGAGGTTTACACTGCCTAAAAGCATTTTAAAACTCAGCAAAGTTAAACATGGACAAAAATGTTACTCGAAAATGGAAAGTATCTGAGAGCTATCTTAAGCTCAGTGAGCCATTACTTTCAGATTGTATAAAATGCAAGGTGCAAGTGCAGAAAGGTTTTTCCAGCAAAGTGTCTCCTTTTACTTTGATAGAGATTCCCATCTGCACCTTTTAGTTTGATAGAAGGGATCAAACTGGAAGATAATTTTAAGTCAACATCCTTAAAAATTGTTTTTGGGCTTTCCAAACCTTTCCTGGATTAAACACAATATTTCACTGTGTACATAATTCACTGACTCCAAGGCGTGAATTAAACGGATACGGATGTGTAGGAATTTTAAGCTACTTTTGTTGTGCTTGAAAGATATTTCTTTTAATAATTGTGAAGGGCACACGAACTAATTTTTCAACGCAATTCGTTTTCAAATTATCGGAGTTTAATTAACGGTTTCTGTTAATATGCATAGTGTCTCGACGCGTCATAATTTAATGGACACTAAAACCCCTTGATAATAAAAAAGATGACTGACATTAATAATGTAAAACAACTCGTGAAGACTGACAATGTACAGGACTTCGGAAAATATTGAATACCTCTACGAACGAGTCCCTAAAAGAAAACATCCTGTTAGTGCGTTTGGCAGGATCTAATAAATAACGCCATTTATTTAGGTTTTGGTCCTGGAAAGCGCCAGCCTGGATGATGCATCTCCAGCAGTAAAAAATGTTGAATGTGGTTATAAAGGCGCGGTAATTTTTTGCTTCATGTCGTTGACATAAAGAGGCGATAAACTGAGTTATAGTCTACGTGGTGAGAAATCCTTAAATATTTGCAATAGAAGTGAAGAGATGGCGAGAGGAATAGCACCACATAGGACATTTTTCTGTAATTTTTACCTCAAATTTATACATCTAAAATCTAGATAATTACCCAGTTATACGGTTGGTTTGAGAGTAATCTGTATGTGTAAAATACGAGTTTGTTTTGTATAATGAAATATACGCTCAAGGTAGGGCATTTAACCACATATTATATAGGAACACAGTGGTAAACTAATTGCATGGTGCAACTTCCTGAAAATTGGATTGTTGCAGAACAAAACTCATATTTTCAGTTTTAATCTGAAAGTAAATATAAATGCAGTTTGGGTGAAGTAATTCAACAATTTTATTTCAATTTGAATCATAACATTGCAATTTGGGACGGAATAATTTAGTGTCCTTAAAAAGTTTCGTTTACATTTTTTTGCGTCCCAATTGGAAAATTAAGTTGAAGACAGCAGGTGTAGGACAATGATGAAAAACGTCACTATCTAATTATTGGCGACGTTTCGACTTTTATTGGGGTCTTATTCAAGGCTCAAATTATATGTGAACGTTGTGTCTAATTAAATGATACCTTATAGTGAATGCATTCCCAGGCAAGGCACCAGTTATTTTCAAAAACCCCGTAACCATGCATGAAACCAGTCTACAAGTGTAGAATTCAACGGACTGTAGATTAGTCTGTTGAATTCCACCACATGCCGCTTTTTTTCACACTTAAATTTTATTTTACAAATTTGCTTTAGGAATTCTTCTAAACGACCCGCACGCTAATGTTTGAAGAAGTTTAACCAACAAAAGATATTATGTGCAGAGACCCTATTAGATAGATGTTTAGGATTAAGTTTTACAATCAGAAATATAAGGTAAGTATTAAAAGAGACAAATACAGCAACTAAAAACGTTTTCTCCGCTTTCAAAAGACGTTCAACTACGCTTAATTTAATTTAGTAACCAACTGGAAAATATAGTATTCACTGCTTCAATTCAACTATTCAATTACAAATATTGCTGCTTCTGGTTGAAAACGTCTTATATTTCAACTCATAAAGCACATAAAGAAAATTGTCTTCAAAATTGCGATTCGCTCCAGTTTTGTATTAAAAAACATGGAAAAATTTAACTCAATAAAGGTGTTCTTTTATTTTATCATTAAGGGAAATTCAGTAGGAAGGCTTTCCGTTCCTTCAATTAAATTCGAATTTTTATTTATGGTGGATTTCGTTCTGCGAAAATGCATAAATATAAAAAGCGAGAATTTTTATTGAAATTCCTCACTATACACATCTCAAGTCGAGGAAAAACCTTATTTGCTTTACTTCCTTCACTTGATTGGATTGTTAGGCACTCAGTGAAAGATATGCACCTCTTCATATGTGCCCACTCTGTAATTATTTGCGAAAGCTCCAATAAGCTTCGCAGGATTTTTTACACAAAAGGAATTTTCTCCTAGTCTTTCGGCGGGTATTCTTAATTAAAATTTTAATCTAACTTCACTTTAAGAAAAGTTGAAACAATTAGGGCAAATACAGAAAATGCATTCTTCTGCCAGCAAACATATAAACTTATGCGAAGTAGGAGATAAAGCTAGCAATTACAGAAAAAGTATTCCCTTCCGGAATACTACTTCAAACGCTCATTGTGTGCTGGAAATCAAGCTCGTCCCGTATTGTTTTCCTCATTGTGCTAAAATGGAAAGATGTCAGATATGCTTCGTTAAATTTAGATACAAAGGAACTTTTTCTTTTGACGAAACACCGTGGAGTTTCTATTAATGGCAAAAATAAAGAAGATAAATGAAAGAAAGGCATATGCGACGAGTTTTGTGACATCAGTTACTCAGAGTAACTACTGATCAGCATTCAGCAATAACACTACTTTTAGCTAACTGATCTGTAGTTCCTAGCAGTTTTTCATACTTCAACGGATGGTGGTGTCAACAATCCAAATTTTTGTAGTCATAACTTAAAATGTTATATGTGCCCATGACTATGAAAGTGGTCTAAATCATATATTTTTTGTTTCGAGATATTTAATGAATTGCATTTAAATAAATTAAAAATTATTTTTACACTATCCGACCTTTTTATTTTAAATTTTATTCGTCTTGATTAATCGAA